GTTAATTTATAACTTGTAGGTAAAGCAATTTCCTTATTTTAGTAGGAAGATAATTATAGAAAACCGTATTTGCAATATTTTCTTAACAAAACGTATCTCGTCCATTAAATGTCAACATGAGAGTGATGATATATCTTTTTGGTTGATATCACTATATGTCGTCTAACTATGGTATATAAATACATGTAAATTTAGTGAGACATGAAAACATATTTCATATATGAAGAAAAACATGAAATGAGGGTCTGTAACACAATATAAATGAAATGAATGTTTATAAAGTCCATGTATGATGCATATACCAAAAAATGTCAACCAAAAAAGTATAATGTTGGAAATCTATAGATTGAAATCGTGTAATATAAGGTCTATAACACAATATAAATGAAATGAAGGTTTATATAGTCCATGTATGATGCATATACAAAAAAAAAATGTCAACCAATAAAGTATAGTGTTGGAAATATATAGATTGAAATCATGTAATATAAGGTCTATAACACAATATAATTGTATGAAATATAGTATGGTATATAAATACGGGTAAATTTAGTGAGACATGAAAACATATTTCATATATGAAGATAAATCATGAAATGAAGATCTATAACACAATATAAATGAAAATGAAGGTTTATAAAGTCCATGTATGATGTATATACCAAAAATTGTCAACCAAAAAAGTATAATGTTGGAAATACATATATTGAAATCGTGTAATATAAGGTGTATAACACAATATAAATGTATGAAATATAGTTTGGAATATGGTTATAAAGTCTATATATGATTTATATACCAAAAAAAGTCAACCGTAAAAGTATAATGCCTAAAATCTATAGATTGAAATCATGTAATATAAGGTGTATAATATAATATAAATGTATGAAATATAGTATGAAATGTGGTTATAAAGTCGATATATGATGCATATACCAAATCGTGTAATATAATGTTGGAAATCAATAAATGTATGAAATATAGTATGAAATATGGTAAGAGTAATTAATGGGAAGATAGAAAAATAATTAAAGGGAAAATAGAGAATAATTAATGGTTAGAGTAATTAATGGAAAGAGAGAGAATAATTCGAGTATATACAATATGTGATATGATTTGTAACAAATTGATATATATATATATATATATATATATATATATAGATGTAAGACGAAAATAAATTACCAAAATGTCATTAATGAATGGTGCACACAACTTCCATCAGTCGATTTTTCAAAGGTGACTTCACTTTTAATAGTATAGATTAGTAATTAAAAATTAATGACTAAGACTCATAAGGAACCCTACATAGTTTTGCATTTATTTTGTACTAGGTATTTTGCCCGCACTTGCGGGCATAATTCCTTATAAATATTTATTAGTTGATGTTCCATTAATTTAAAAATCAGCATAATAAGTTATTATTTATGTTTTCAAAAAGTACAAATCCAACATCAAATAATTATTAATGACAAAACTCTCAAAACATCAGAAATATTTAAAAGAATATATTTCTATAATTATTTTCCTTAATTTATATTTAATTATAATATTTATAAAAAAATTTTACTTAATTTATATTTAACTGTAATTTTCATATCTTATTTCTAAATTTTGTAATATAAAAACATATTTTCAAAATAACAATATAATGCATAAGTTATATATTTCTAAAAATAAATTATGAGAAAAAAATTTAATTATATAAGATTATCAAAATTATGACATATAATTAAAATTACCTAAAATCATGGAGAACTTAATGAATCAGCAAATTCACTTCTTAAATATTTATTAGTTGATGTTTCATTAATTTAAAAATCAACATAATAAGTTATTATTTATGTTTTCAAAAAGTACAAATCCAACATTAAATCATTATTAATAACAAAACTCAAACATCAAAAATAATTAAAAGAATATATTTCTATAATTATTTTGCTTTTTTATATTTAATTAAAATATTTATACAAATTATTTACTTACTTTATATTTAATTTTAATTTTTATATCTTAGTTTTAAATTTTATAATAGAAAAACATATTTTCAAGATAACAATATAATGCATAAGTTATTTATTTTCTAAAAAAATAATATGATAAAAAAATTAATTATATAAAATTATCAAAATTATGATATATATTTAAAATTACCTAAAATCATGGAGAACTTAATGAATCAGCAAATTCACTTCTTAAATATTTTTTCTTGAATGATGATTTATATTTAATTAATAATAGATAATTCTTCTATTTTACTTTTAAATTATATAATACAAATTATATTTTCAAGATAACAATATAATACATAAGAATTACTTAATTTTCTAAAAGTATAATATTATTAGTGTAAATTTATTTCAATTATAGAATAACTACAACTTTTTATATCTTAATTTATAATTTATAATACAAAAATATATTTTCAAGAGAACAACTTAATACATAAGAAATATCTTATCTTCAAAGAATCCGATACTATTAATATATTTTTAAAAAAATGTATAATAATTATATATAAAATTATATAAATTAGATAAATTATCAAAATTACTTAAAATCATGAAAAATATGACAAATCAGCAAACATCAAATTCACTTCTTAAATAATAGTATAGATTTATTACATGTTAATTTTAAACTTTATAATAGAAAATAAATTTTCAACATAACAACATAATACATGAGAATTAACTTATTTTCTAAAATATAAATTTAATTATTAATAATATAATTTTTATATCTTAATTTTAAGTTTTATAATAGAAAAATATATTTTCAACATAACAAAATAATACATAAGAATTATATTTTTAAGTTTTATATATACAAATATATTTTTAGATAATAAGATAATTCTTAAAATATATTTAGATAACAACATAATTCACAAGAATTATCTTATTTACTAAAAGTATGATATATTATATAAATTCGTTTTATTTATAAATAAAATATATATAAATATTAAAAATATGATAAGTAAATAAGATTACCAAAATTTACGAAGAACAATACAACTAAGCAAATTTAATTCTCAAATAATAGTATAGATTAAATTAAAATTAATAATTAATATTTTTCAATTAATATCTTTGACTTTATCGTATGTTGGTTTGACTTTATCAACCTCAGGACATTTAAGGTGTGCCTTAACTTTAACGGACCCTTGTTTCCTTCATGGACTTTTAAACTCAATTAATATTAGATTTTTTTTTTATTTGGATTATAATCTTGAACTGGGTCTGTGGCGATTAAACCCAGCTCTAAGCAGTGTTTTGAAAACCGACGAACACTGAATCGGATGACTGTCCGGGTCACCGAGTTATTGGATCGACTATTGGTGAACCGCGGATTGATAAATGAATTATATAATATTATAAATATATATATATATATATATATATATATATTACTTATAAAAATAAATATATATAAACTAAAAATAATTATTTTCTATTTTTTATTAAACATAAATATTTGTTTGGATATGTATATATTTTATGTTCAAAAAAATTTAGAAAATATTTAATTTTTGTTAATATATTTTCATTTGACATACAAAATATTAAAAATATATTAGTTTATTTTTAAACAATTGTAACAAGTTAAGATTTTCTAAATCTAACAAAAAATATCAATATTTATAAATTCATAAATATTTATATGTCTAATTTTAATAATAAAATTAAACTTAAAATCTAAAAAAATATTTAAATTAAAATTATTAATAAATTATCTATAACAAAAAGAAGACAATAAAACTGAAAGAAACCTAGCTTTTAATTGGAAATTTAGAATTAAAAAGAATCTAAAAAGTTAAAAACATAATTAAAAAAAAAAGAGAGAGTAAAATTTATCTAATGGTTCAACCGGCAGTTCAACCGGCGGTTCAACAGGTACCGGATTTCGGGTTTTATTGGGTTTTAAGCGAGTTTTTAAATTTTGGATTTTTCACAAAATCCAAACCTGGATTTATTCTGGGTCACCGGATTTACCGGTTCAACCGCAGATCCGGGTTGGGTTTCAAAACACTGGATCTAAGCCTCTAACATTCATGTTTGATGATTCTTGAAAAGGAAGAAAAGTCCGAATTGTTTTGATTTGGGGATGAAGCATGATTGTTGTTGCGTTCCATTTTAATGAGTCCCTACTAAGGATTTTCCATCCGATTTGAAAATAGTTGAGGGTTTAAATAACTAAAATGTTCATTGATTTCAAGCATATATTGTCGTCGTCGTTTCAGAGATTATATGAAACGTCACGTTTCAATTTAATGAGTCTTCGTTTATAAATGACAACTTCATTAACCGACGATTAATGGCATTAACAATTTAATAGTCAAGGGTGTAAAAACATAAAGTTTTAGTTGGAAGTTTTCATTCAACCTAAATATAGTTGGATGTTTAAATCATTCAAAATTCTTATTAATTTTATCATGAATATTTTTAGTGAATAAATTTGAACTTTTTATTTTTATTCTTTTAGGATTCATATTGCATTAGTTTTTAAGTCATATACAATTTTCTTTGCTACAATATAATTGCACATCATTAAATGAAATACTGAAATAATATTTACATATTCTATATTTTTAGGTATTAATAAAAAATTGTATATATTTTAAAACTTAAGAATCAAAATGTTTGAAATCAAAATCTGAACCGTCATAATTCAAAATTGATCTCAACTACTTGAGAATCGAAACCACCATAAAGCGACATCGGTTCACTCAAGATGATAATCACATCATAACCGGCCCGGTTAACTTGGTCCAGTTACATGGTCCAACAAATGAAAGCACGAATCCTGATTTTACCTAAGAAGCATTTCACAACCGTCGATGCATTAGAAATGGATGATGAAGATTCTTCTTATACATTCTCTCGGATCGTCATCCTTAACCGTACAATTAAAAAAATAAACTTCAACGGCTACGATTTATTTACTGAGATAGTCGTCTTCTTTATAAATCACCCACCGGCTGTGAATCTTATATTGAAGCCATCTAAATATTCTTCATTCAATTCTAGAGAAAGTCCAAATTTTCCGAGGAAAGAAATGTCAGGAAGAGGAAAAGGAGGAAAGGGATTGGGAAAAGGAGGAGCAAAGAGACACAGGAAAGTTCTTAGAGACAACATCCAAGGAATAACCAAGCCCGCGATTAGGCGTCTAGCTCGTAGAGGAGGCGTGAAGCGAATCAGCGGTTTGATCTACGAAGAAACCAGAGGAGTTTTGAAGATCTTTCTTGAGAATGTGATCAGAGACGCCGTGACTTACACTGAGCACGCGAGGAGGAAGACGGTGACGGCGATGGATGTTGTTTATGCTTTGAAGAGGCAAGGACGCACTCTCTATGGATTCGGTGGTTAAATCGTCTTTTGTTTTCATTTGATTAAGTCTTGCTGTCAAGAAATTTTAGTTTTCTTCTTCTTTTGTGGTTTTAAGGTTTGTTTGTGGCCTTTGGGCTACTTGTAATGAAGTTTCTCTTATGGGCTAATGAAAGTTCTGTTACTCAAATTTTGTCATAAATCATTCCATTACAGAACATTATCATTGTGAAGTAGTGCTCAGATTAAACTACATTGTATCAAAATTTGTTTAGTAGCTAACTTGTAATTGTATAAGATGATCAAAATTCACATATTTAGTCTTTCAGTTTTGTGAAAATCGAACCGGGAAGACGAAAACTTTTAGATTTTTGTTAGGCGCCAAATCGAACCGGGAATACTAAACTTTCTGATGTGTTTTTCGAACGCTATATTAAGCGTATGCCACATCATCAATCCAGTGCCGTGCCTGCCTTATACGAAAAGAAACTTTCGCTTAGGGCATGATTTTCTCATAAGGCATCAAAACAAGTCTTTAGTTGTGTCATAATATGCAACTAGATTTTGAACCCGCACATCCGTGCGGGTATTTTTTCATTTTATAAAAATATAACAAATTTTTTCAAATATAGAAGATTTATATTCTATTCTTATATATTGTATAATTGTATAATTTTAATTATTTTTATATAATATATTGTTGTAAGTTTTAAAATAAAAAAAAATATTTATATATAATTTATTATATAATGTATTTGTTGTGAGTTACAAAAATATATGTTAATATTTTTTGTAAAAAAAAAATGTTTTATGATTTAAAAACTTTAATATGTTTTAAAAGGGAGTGATATTTATTTATTTATTTGAATAAAAGAAAATTTTTAAAACAAAATATTTTCCTTTTACCAATTTAATATATTTTATATTCATTTCACATAGCATTTTATTTTAATATAATATAGAATATAACTAAATTATAAAATATAACAATTTTTATTTTAATTAACAGTAATATTGATATTTATATATATTAATCACGAAATTAAATAATGCATATTTATAAAAATATTTAAACTTCTTAGTAAGATCTTGTTAGATATTTTCTCAACAAATTTATTACTAATATCTTATTAATTATTAAAATATTCCTCCAATTATATATATTTGATTGATTAATATAAATAATCAAATATATCATATTAATGAAATAGTCCAATATGACTTTTTTGTAGTAGATGTAAATGGTACTTCTCTTTTAATAGAGAAGATATTGGCCATGGTTAAACATCATACTACTACCTTTTTTATATTGTTGTATTTAAATCAATTTGGTTAAAGTGGGATAAATAATAAATCTAACATGGACTATTGGCAACCGCTAGTGCTGTTACCATAAAACTTTTATATTCGTTTTTTTTAAAATCGATTTGGTTTAACTGAGATAAATAATAAACAATTAAAAAATAATAAGGTTTTACATAGCTAGAAGTATACAAGTTATCAACATTGTTTTCTCGTATTTTGGTGGTTATCACTTCTAAGTATAATATATTTTATCTCAAATTGTTAGTTCTGTTTATTGTATAATTGTTTAAATTTTATATAGTAATTCATTTATCTTCGTTTGGATATAGCAATTAAAAACATTGAGTCATTTGATTATATTATCAATAAATAATAGAAAGGCCATCAAAAAAGATTTTTTTATATTTTTATTATGTTTTCTAGGATGAATATAATTTTTTATATATTTTAGAACTATTTTAAAAAATTTAGTTCTTTAGTTGTTTGATATATGTAAGGATGATGTTTTTTGTCAACAATGGTACTAGATATTAACTTTGATGGATTTCTTTTAAATGATTTTATTTTTCTGTTGTTCGCTTTGGACAGATATAAAAGCTCGCACGGCTCTGCATCAATCCATGATATAATTTGCACATAGCGTCGGATCTGAATCTTAAGGACATGGATAAGCAAATTATATTGTTACAGCCTTACAGAAGTTTGTTTCTTAGCTAAACAGTAAAATATTGAATAGTTGTATTTTAAAAAGTTCCAGATGTTTTGTTAAGCGCCAAGACCAACCGGGAAGGTTCAACTTTCATACGTGTTTTCTCCCTACGCCCTTTTTAACGCAGATCTGAATCTTAATCAGCGCTCCAGCTCAACTTCAAAAGTTAAAAAAGAGAAGGGCCCTACCGGGTTCGAACCGGTGACCTATTGATCTGCAGTCAATTGCTCTACCACTGAGCTAAGGACCCTTTTGTTGAATTGTAGGAAACAAAACAGATTAATCTAAATAACTAATGTCAAAACGTTAGACATACGTAAGAATCATGACTGATGATGAGAACGGAAAAAAGCTTAAAAGAGTCCTGTAGTATTTCATAACGCTCTCGATTCCAAACATAAATTGTAGTTTCTAATTGAGTTTGGGTAAATTTATACAATGAATGTTGACTATTTAGCTATAGGCTTTGCGAAGAGATATTCATTGTATGAATCAAAAACACGCAATAACTAAACGAGTCATGTATCTACATAGCTTTCGATTCAACACGACCATAACTCCTGCGGAAAACGTCTGCACGAGAAGGAGAAAAGCAACCAATTCACAATCTCTACCAGTAAATTAATCGAAAGTGTACACGATTAGCTTGTGGTATTTGATTACAATTGTAGTGAGAGAGTTCTAATGATCTGTATCACCTAACTAACGACCAACAGAGAGATTCCACCTCAAAATTAATGTATTCTAGTTTCTATTTAAAGATGTGTGATGATGATAAGAGCTATAATGACAATGAATGGTTATGAATCACAGAACTTTACAATGATGATGAGTAACAAGCAAGCGTAATTCAATTGTTGTAATGCTTGTGGCATTAACTATATCAAGTAATTAGCTATACACTATAATCAATTACTTCAAGTTATGTCCTGTTGAATTAGTAAAGATCCAAGCAAAGACTAATGAAATTAAACCTTCTTGGGTAACTTAAAACAGAGAAAAGATTATAGAACAAAGATTGAGATTTAACCAAACGATTACAAAGATATTAAGATTCTACTTCCAAAAGATACCATATATTCTTCTTCCACGATTACAACCCAAATCATAAAAACCAAAAGCGCCCAGATCTAGAAACCCTAAACACACCCTTCAAGAGCTAGTAAACTTAGTCACAGCCTTAGTCCCTTCGGAAACAGCATGCTTAGCGAGCTCACCAGGAAGAACAAGCCTAACAGCGGTCTGAATCTCCCTAGAAGTGATGGTAGGCTTCTTGTTGTACCTCGCGAGCTTGGACGCCTCCTGAGCAAGCTTCTCGAAGATGTCGTTGATGAAGCTGTTCATGATCCCCATGGCCTTGCTCGAGATCCCGATGTCAGGGTGAACCTGCTTCAGGACCTTGAAGATGTAGATCTTGTAAGTCTCGATGCTCTTCTTGTTCCTCTTCTTCTTCTTGTCGATGGCTCCGGCTTCCTTCGGGAGCTTCTTCCCGGCCTTGGGTTTCTTCTCCGCGGGGGCTTTCTCGGCGACTACCTCCTCCGTTGGCTTCTCCGCCGCGGCGGCGGGTTTCTTCTCTGCTGGCTTCTTTCCTGCCTTTGGTGCCATCTTGAAGTTTTTTTTTGGAGAGGGGAGTGGAGATTTAGGTTTTTGAGATGAGGAGATCTGAGAAGGGTGTGGAGATGTTTAAGAAGGAAGAGGAAATGGTTTCTATTGGATGAGAATTGTTCACGTGGATTGATGATGTAGGGTAAGTTTGACCGTTGGATGGATGATGTTAGAATATTTAAATCAACGGCTGTGGATGGAGGTTTTAGATAAGTGTTTCTTCTTCTTCTTCTCGGATAGCTGACGTGGATCACCACCGCTTTTTAAATGTCATCTTTTTTACGCAGTGACATGATGGGCCAGGCCTGGTTGCAACAGAAATGAGCGTAGAAGATATATGAGCTCGCCACAGTGGAATTTCTCGTTACTTCTATTGAGTGAACTTTTATACACTGAAAAGCATAAAACTTTGTGTTTTCTTTCAAAATGGTGGTATACAGTAAGTTTTTTTTATCCATTATACTTTGAATTGGTAATTAATCAGCGATTTAGTGTTCAAAATGTTATGTCATAACTATCTCGATAAATATTGATTTTTGCTTAAAACATCGTTTTTCCAAATCCAAATGGTTCCAATTTCTTGCGAACTAGACCACAACACACATATAAGATTTGTTCGTCTTAAACCATATAAGACTGCTTTAAGATCTTAGTTTAGTAAAAAATGATGGGAGGATTTGAATCGGAATAAGTGTACAAAAGAACAAAGACTAGATATTTAGTGTATAATCATGGTCGATATAGTTTATAGGTGTCTAAGAGGAGTCAAGAAATATCTGATTAATATTTAATAAGAAGAAGTAACAATATATAATCAACTTTACAAAAGACTTTTGATCTAGGATAAGAGGAGATGAAGACCAAAGCATGTGTAGTCAAAAGATGGAGGAGTATTGGTTTGAAATTGAGGGTGAAGATGCATCACATACTTGATGCTTTTGGCATTTTGACTAGATGTCGTGTTCTTCTTTTCAGTATGTTCTAGTCTATCGAAACGAGATACACCTTATCCATAAACGATCTTTTCTTTTTCTTCTAACCAAGGACAGATCTAGACTTTATAAGAGGAGGGCAGCTGCCCCATGAAAATCTATAATTCAATTAAAGTAGATAGTAATTACATAAAATTCTGAAGCAAAATTAGTTAAATTCCTAGCTATTCCCTCACTAAGCCCAGGTTCAAATCCCCTCACTACCCTATTTAGTCTTAATTTTCTTTTTCCTATTTTTTTGCCCCCATTTAATTTTTTTCCTAGATCCGCCACTGCTTTAAACCATAGATCGATCCGAAACCAAACCTTTTCATTCATTTAGTATCTTCGACCACTCTTTTGCCCAAATCATTTTTTACCATTTCACCATGCTAATTCATGTGTATGGACCAAGTCTGGTACACATCACCCTAAAAATGCCCATACCCAAAATATGATAGAAAGTCGATCCCAAACATAAGTAGTAAGTTGGGAAGGTGGTCTGTACGGTCAGTTCCGTCCGTACCATCATCCTAACTTTGCACCATGCTTCTCTTCTCTTCTTCTCACCCTCTTGTAGGCTTCCTCATCTCTTATTTGATTTATCTCAACTCAACACGCTTAACATAACAATTAACTGTCTATCACCCGTTGATTCTAAAGTCAACCCAAACGCGCATTGGCTATTTTATATGTGTATCGAATATTACATGACGTGAGATATTAGTGGAGGGTGTTGTAAATTTCTCTGAATCGCCCATTTAACAAGTAGATATTTTTTGTTTGTTTGTAAATTAACAAGTAGATATTATATGCACGATTCCTTGTATGATTAATTTAGTTGGGGAAACTATTGACATAAATCTACTATCACCTTCACCAAGAAAACTCCAAAATTCATACATAAAAAATCATATAATATTATATCATAACCGGTTATGACATCAATCATCAGAAGCTTCAGCTTCCAGCAATCATTTTTCCGTCATATACTGGTGGTGGTTACTGGTCACAAAAGGTTACTTAAAATGACAAATTTAAATATTTTATTTTACAAACTATTTAAATTTAGAAATATTTTTATTAATGGCCCATACCTTTTTGGACTTATGGCCTTTACATATTCATAAGGCTGACACTAGCACTAATTCTATGAATTGGATCAAATTAAATCATATGTATGTATCCCCGAATAAAAAAATGAAGCAAAGAGAGACGACTGTGAAAGTGCAGAAATTTTTAAAACTTTTGATATTATCTCCAACCATTAATTTAGTTGACACAAGACCCCATTATTGTTTCATAGAGACAAAGGTGAAAACGATAGTTTTGAAAATCTGTTGAAGACTATTCAGTTTAAATTTGATCAACAGATTAATTTTATATCTCGTTATCGTTTGTTTCCAAAACTTTGTAAAGGTCTTATCTTGACAAACTGCACAAGTCTTTTCCTACTTTGAACGTTACGAGAAATTCATTTTAGGAAATATGATTCTCTTATTAAGAATTTGAATGGTTGTTGTACTTAGTGGTTATGTTTGAGGATTGAATCACTCTATTGTATGGACAACATTACCAATATAATGCAGTTTATATTTCTACTTTATCCAATTTGCCTCTGCAGATTTTTTTGTTTGCACTGTTGCATATTGTATTACAAATGTTACTGCTAGACATACTTATTACTCACTTCATTTCATTATGCAATTCATTATTCTTTTGATTTAAATATTGTTAGTTGTATAAATAATTGTATTTTATATACAAATATATAAAAATTAATTGCTTTTTTCATCAGTGTGTACAAATGTAAAATAACATTTATAATGAAACATAGAAAGTATATACTAGGCCAAAGATAAACTAAACATTGTTTAGATGTTTTTATTCTATTTTAAAATCATTGTTTAGATATCACATAAACATTGTTTAGATATCACATATACATTATGTAAATATATACGTCTGAAGCCTGTATTACAAAAACAAATGTAAAATAACATCAAATAAAACTACGGAAATATTAAATGTCTCTTATTAAAACAGAATCAGCCCTTTGGACCTAATTTTTGTAAGTTTTAGAACTTAATACACCTCTTAATTATAAAGTAAGTATAGAAACAATATAATACCACGTTTTATGTTTTCAAACAACACAATAATTGATCTTGGGTCCAAATAATATAATATTATAATATATTTTCAGACAACAGAATAGTTAATATTATGTCTAAACTTCAAACTATATAAAACATCATAATTGACTAAAACATTCAAATAATTTATGGAAATAAATAAATTATTTTTTTGTAGGTTTAGATACTACAAAATAATTCAATCAATATCAAATCAATTAAACTAATAGATCATTTTATTTATATTTTCATAAAATTTTAAGTTCATTTATATTTTAAATAAACTTTCAGATTAAATTAGATACTATATATACAAAAATGTAATAACTTGAAATCAAATAAATTTTACTAAAAGTCTATCAAAATTTATCATACTATTGATCAAATAAACTATAGAGATTTTATTAAAAAATTCTAACGAAACAGTTGAAATAACTAAAAGTTAAGTCAAATAATATCTTATTCAACTGATAATTTTATAAATACAAAATAATATATTTTATTCATACTTTTATAAAAAAACTCACATTCATTTAAATTTAAATAAACTTTCATATTAAATTAAATACTGATTATAGATAAAATTTATAAAAATTATCAAAATATATCATAAAACTAAACAAATAAATTATATTTGTTAAAACTCATAACGAAAAGAGTTGAAATAACTGAAAAACTTATAATGTCTTATAAATTTTCATATTTAATAAATACAAAATATAATTATATATATATATATATATTCAAATACGATAAAATAAAAATGTTATAAGATTTTGATTTCATAAATTATATTTGCTAAAATATATTTTTGTGCTTCAAAAGTCTATTAAATAGTCTATATGATTGGAACAATAAATAATTCGCGTGGACATGCGGATCCGACAAAAACAAAAATAAATCACAAAAGATTATAAGAATGTTTATTTGCTGTTTCTGGTAAAAAAAAACTGTTAGATAATATAGTCCAAATTAGAAATGAATAATTAACAACTACATTGTATAATAAAAAACAAATTATTAGCAAAATAAACTACAGAAAACAACTAAACTCCCTCTTAACTGTAAACATTCAGTTAATTATAAAATTTGTGTAATTATTCTATAATAAAATCCATGATGTTCACGCGGATCATGATCTAGTATCACATAAACTTAACAATATAAAATATATCAAAGAAGTACATAAATTTTATCGGCCAACCCAACTAAAGAAGAGCTGGGCATGGGTATTGGATTTTCAATTCTTTTGGGTACAGAGATTTCAAACCGTTGGAATATATTTATAAAAGTATGGTTTTGTTTTGTTTTTATTGTTTTTTTTTTTATTATCTGTAGGTTCTGAAGACAAGGCTCATAATCCTTCAGGTCCAGAATTCAGCGGGCACTAATTTCATGGGACTAGGTCCGTGGCGTAAAGCATCCCTCCCACGGTAGATCGAATTCAGAAGCATAACAGTACAAAGGTATATGCTTAAACCAACTGGACTGTCATATCTATGGTAAAAATATGGTTTTGTTTTAGTATGTAATTATCAATTTTTGGTATGGCTATAGTAAAAATCCCCTATATATTAATTGAGAAGCATTGTAACATGTTTTGGTAGTCACGTGTCATCATGACAATGCTTCTCAAATTTACCAGAGAAAAATGGTCCATATAAACATATAATATACTTTTTATTAAACTAAACATAAAACTATTATTAATGCTATTCATTATTCCTTAAATAAAATTTACGAAATTACCTAATTTGGTTATAATATATATATATATATATATATATATATATATATATATATATATGACAATTAATGATTCAAATATAAAGATTTGATAAACAAATTTATAGCCTTTACTATTTTTTATAACTTATATTGTGAAAATAAATTAAACAATAACATTAACTATATAACAAAAAAATTAGATTGATTGATATATG